CGATGTGGTTTCAGGGAAACAAAACAAATGCCTATTCTGCTAAATGATTTTGTTCCTGCAACTCGTCCATTCCTTATCTAAGTGACCCTGAAATATACATGCACACACAGCCCATAAATGATTAAAGCTAACCAACCACGGACTTGATCTTGCCAGTCCTCCCTGGGGCCCACTTCTCTTCGCCAACCAAGGTCAGAGGAGTTATCGAAGATTTTCCTTGTTTGTTTAAGAATTAGAATAAATACTAAGTTGTTAGTTAACCAAGCTGTCATCAAAGGACATTTCTCACTGTTATTTCATGATCATCCCACCATGACAGAGTACGAAAGTGTGGATGGTACGTTTATAGCGTCCGGTTTGCAAAAGCATGGCTGCGAGGAGCCTGGTATATATTTTCCTAGTATGTTACACCCACAGGCAATACACTGGAGGGTGTTAGGGCTGGAAGGGACTTACAGGTCACATAGTTGGAACCTGTCATCTTACTGATGAGAAAACTATGCGGTGAAGTGACCTGTTGGAATTCAACCCAGGTGTTTGTGCATCAGTTGAGTACATTCTGCCCTTGCTGCTCTGGGAAAACATTGTGCAAAGCTAAGCCCCTGAGTTCGGTGTGGTCTGCGAGTCTAATTTTCTGAGAGAGAGAAGGGCAGATGTCTAAGCAGCCTGGGACTCTGCATTCCACCAGGCCTGCTGATGCCGGGGGCAAAATGAGCGGTCATCTTGCTGCCTGCCTCACGAAGCACACTCCGTTCGTTTCCCGAGCAACACTGAAGACAGCGAGGCAGGTGCACCAAACAGATGGTCTCCAGTACACTCTGCTTCCTCCTCTCCTCCAAGGGCAGCCTGAGCCTCCGCTCCCGCATTTTAGGGAGAAGCCGGCCTTGCATTGCATCTACCGTGAGTTCCTATACAGGTGCGTACGTTCATGTATTTATGAAACACGTATGATAAGCTGAGAACATGCTACTGCTGTGTGCATGCTGGAGCCTTCAGAGAGAGCAAAAACAGCGCAGCCCAGGGTAGAATGTTATAAGTGGCACCCCAGTGGTACACACACAGAGTGAGAATTAAATCATGTGTATTGCATCTGGACATATAGGTCCTGGCGTTGTATTCAAAGACTTGAGATTCACACAAGATTCTTGCCCGCCAGCTGAATTTCCACCAGCTTGTCCCATGTTTTCTAGTCATGGAGATGTCACTGGAAGCAACTTGGAAGAATTTAGAAACCTGGCTTGGGGCCCTGGTGTTACTATTTACTAGCTGAGTGACCTTGAACCAATTCCCCAATCTCCCTGATCATCGGTTGCTTTTTCTTCAGCAAGCATGACAGCACCTATCTTATAGCTTGTCAGAGGACGAAGATGATGCACGAGAGCAGAGGGGCTAAAAAGCAAGTTACTTCATCTCTCTGTGCTTCTCTGTCTCCACTTATAAAATCAGCATAATAGAATCCCCATTAGGAAATTTCTGTGGAAATGAAATGAGATGATGATGCCTTCAGTACGTAATACACTTTAGTTATCCTAGGAAAGTATCCTGTGACTTGTAAGATGTTATATAAAAGTGAAATGCTGTTCACTGTTAAAGTTAAGCTCAGTCAAAAGGAGAGTCCTGGGATCAGAATCGTCCCCAGATGCTACACATCCAGGAGATTGGATAAAATAAGCCTTCAGGTTTCCGTGCTGTTCCAGAAGTTCGCATAGATGGCTCTGCTTTGGTTGTAATGTCATAGACCTATCCAGCTGAACATAGGCTTCTTTTCAGACCCTCTCCTCTCTTCTTTCTTTTTAGATCGCTTCTCAGAGCGTAATTCCTTTAAGCATCTGTTCTAAAGTATTTATGTTAGTCCTGTGTGCGTAGAAAAAAAAAATGACACCAAGGTTTTCTGTCTTAGTCTGCTTATTCTTCCTATTCTTTAAAGTGGGAAGAATGATTTTTCCCATCCTTGAAATGTCACCTACTCAAAATGAGATAGCTCAGCACCAAAACAATTTGAAACCTGAAGGGTGATCTGGATAGAGAGGAGGTAATTACCAACATGAATTTGAAATTACAAAAAGAAGACTCAATATTCGTTTCTTTGGGTTTGAACCCATCACTGTTTATGAGTATTAATGAATTTCTGCCTCAGTAACCATTAGAAATTGACTGGTAGCCTATCTTTTGACCCATTTTTTAAGATGGTTCAATTCAGGTAAAAAAAAAAAAATCCGTTGGCGACTTTATCTTATTCATTCAAGTGACCCATTTTCAAAACAACCAATTTTTTTGTTGTTAGAATTCACTCAGTTTCTATTCATACAATAGCTTGTATGTGGAGACAAAACTTAGTATGTCAGTTGGTGGAAGAAAATGAGCCCGATTACAATATTAGCATTCCTCAAATCCAGACTTGTTCAGTCAATAGTAAGCAAGAGTGTGTGAAGAAGGTATTTAGCTTAAGTCTGCAGAAAGAAAATGACTACCCATGCTTTTAAATTATTGGCCTTATGATTTTTGAAATGCAAAGTAGAAGGAGGAGGAGGAAGAGATGAGAAGGAGAAGAAGAATTTTGTTACAAAGTATGGACAGATGCAAGTGAGTGTTGGCTGAAAATTCCAGCTACAGTCATCCAAATAAAAATGCATGTCTGTGCCTGTTGCGTAGTTCAAACACAATGACCCAGGTTTTCACATTTTCTAGTGAGGAGTGCTATTCTGACTTAGCTGTCCTGGAAACACCTGCTCTGTTGTGTAATATTGATGAACTTGAGTTTGGAGCTGCTAGCTCTATACTTCTCTCTGTGAATTATAGGACACGCATAAATGATTAAAACAAGGCAACCAGAAATCTGATCCTTCCAGGCCTCCTTGGGATCAAATTCATTTATCAGCCCACCAAGGTCACTGACCTTGATTACCCAGAGCCTAGCTACTAAAATGATTAATTGATCTGTTCTCTCATTTCACTCATTTAATTTAAAGGGGGGGAGTGAAAAAGCGAAAATATTTTCAAGGAATTGACCTGTAAGCAATCTTACTTCGCTTGCTGCATCCTCTAAAGTCTTTATTAATGATAATGAGAAGCATCAATACCGGCTACAGCAGAGAGAAGAATAAACAAAGCGACCAAAGCTCTTCTTATACATCTTCCTCATATCAATTAACTTGTGATCCCAAGTTTAATCCTCTCTACAATTCTCTATACCATTCTATCTTCAAAAGGTGTGTAGGCATATGAATTGAAAGAATATACTGGAGGATATGAAGATCTAGTTTTATATCTGCAGAGGAAATAATTAAATAATTTTTAATATGTTTATTTTTATAATCAATGGATAACCTTAATTTGAGTAAAACATCATTTTTCTCAAAACTTCAAGGAAAAGTTGTCCATTAGAAGTTTCTTGAAAAAAAAAAAAGGAAATTTCCTACAAATGATATTGCCATCTTCTTCATGGAATGGTAAGCATAGAGAATATAATAAAAGCATATGTATAAACTAATTAATTTTCATTGTAGCAGCCAAATAATCAAAGAATTAATTTATTCTAACCATCTGGACAGCATCATACAATATTATAAAACGATTAAAATGGGTTCTACTCAAAGTATATGGGTAAATATTTAACCACTGCTTGGGGGATGGGAGCCCAGATTTGTTGTAAATACACCCACTGGGACTGATTTCAAGCTTTCATGTAAAGTCACTGAACACAGTTAGGAAGAAATGTAATATATAACTGTAATATAACACTGCATGGTATTTTCTTCATACAGAATCTGCAAGATTTAGCAGGTAAAAAGTCAGAACGTCCAGTTAAATCTGAGTTTCAGGTAAACAACAAATAATTGTTTTAGTATCAGTATTTCCATGTAATATTTGGGGCACAACTATACTAAGGGATTTTCCATTGTTTATCTGAAACTCACATTTAACTAGGCATCCTAGATCTTATCTGCCAATCCTAATGTAGACATCACAGACAGAAAGACCTCAGGTACATAAATAACAGTAAAATGTAATGATGAATTTTGACTATTTATTACCTTTTTTTGAATATAATTTAAATAATCTGCTTTTTCATAATGACTGTATTTGACAACTCCATGCAAAATTCCTGAAAATTTAACAATCAGCTTTTTGCAAGTCAGCTTTAGCACACCTCTGATATTTTATGTAAGTGTAATATAGTTCACCAGAGTTAGACTTTGAAAACACAATGATACAGAGTTTAAAGTATATCTCAGCTCATAATACTACTAAGATTTTAAAATAACTTATAGACATGGCTTCATTAAATTTTAACGGGAAGTAAATTTCATTGCAACCAAACTCTCCCATACTCCACACCACCCTCCAAGCCCCACCCCTGGGGAAATTTCTCTGTAGCAAGGAAGAGCACATCTTCAGACTTCTTCCTTTCCATTTTTAGGGATTTGTGTGGTAGCGGGCCCTCTTTAGAATTGGGTGATCTTAATGACAAAGCTCTAACTTCAAAGCTTCTGCCATTTTTCTGTGGGACTGAAGTGGGGGACCTAGAGTAGAAGGTCCATCTGTTCCTGTGTTTAGCTGAACACTTTGATCAGATGATGGTAATGCAAAGATAAGCCTGGAATTTTGCTTGGGGTAAAGGGGAAAAATCTGCACTGATCCACAACAAAGTAATGGGGTTAGGAGTGTGTAGGCCTGCAGTTAGGGGAAAAACATGATGAAGATGAGCTCTACAGAACAGGTTACTGAGGAAGCCAAAACAACAGTTTATCTAATTTTGTTTGTTTTGTTCTTTTTATGCAGAGGACCACGTAATCACAGGCCCCTGATTCAGGTGCAGTGGGGGCACGGAAAGGGACCTGGCTGTTTCCAGTGTGGGCCTCTGGGGTGTCTGCAGGACCCCTGTTACTTCCAACACACCCCTCTTGCCCTGGGTGCTACCAGGTCCTTCCTCAGCTTGGGGAGCCAACTGAGTGCAGCTTTTGTTTTTTCAGGTGACAGCTCTGGACCCCATGAGGGTTACAAATCTGGAACACTTCACGAATTTGCCTGTCATCCTTCCGCAGGGGCCATGCTAATCTTCTTTGTATCATTCCAATGTTAGTATATGTACTGCCAAAGCGAGCACCAGTTTATCTAATTTTTAAAAATTAAATAGATACATACATACATACATGAAACAGATGTCCTTCACTTTAGTCAAACATTATGCTCAAAGGGATTTTTAAAATCAAGTCATTTTTTTGGACATTTGGGGCATTCCTATTTCATGGTAAAAACTTATACGGTGAATGACCAATCACCCTGTATCTATATTATTTTTTATTAGACTAGGTTTCCTTTTAGGTTTTCTTTAAGTGAGGAACCCCCAATACAAATGCTTTTTTGTATTTATACATTCATATATGATCTAGTTTAATTTTCATTTAATTTAATTAACATTTGCATTAAATGTTAACTTCAGATGTCAGTGGAGAAGATAAAGGTAGACACTAACTGTAACATTAAAAACAGTCTGTATTTTATGTCTGAACACGTATCTGATATAGACATCTGCATGAAAAATTGCAAATTTGGATATCAAAATCAGTAGCTATGTAGAAAGTTCTATTTTTCTCATTTCTAATATTAGGAAGTTATATGGCAAATAAGAATAGTTATTAAACATGTTTGCAGTTTCTTCTAGTAATTTGAATAGTAACACAGAGAAGTATTCCTACAGGGTCTTCATTGCTGTTTTTGGTTTCCAAACTGAGGTTTGACTATACCAGAAATCTGTTATATTATTGATAATGATTGAGCTAGACAGAATTAAATCATTTCACTAGTATAACTGGGTCTTCTAATCACTTAATTAAACTGATCTTGATTGGTTCAAAAGTGCATCCTAAAATTATTTTAAAGATTACATCATTTGTCAAATTCTCTATATTACCTAAGACATTCAGTGATGAAATTAATCCTCCTACATTTACCATTCTAAAATGAAATTGAATGTATTTCCATTTTTTCTTAGTGATATTGAAGATGTACAAATCAAAAAAAGAGATGGTAAATTTGTCCCAAATAAAAATGTGAAACTAATCCAAAAGTTTAAACAAAATATTTCATAGATAGTATGGAATAAATAAAATACTAGAAATATAAGAGAAAGTGAAAAGAAATTATTATATCCAAAACTTTGTCTCATTTGTACATAATTGAGTATTATATTGTTGTTGTTGTTGTTATTTGCTCTTATTAAAAAAGAAATTATTGTATTTGGGATTTTGTCTCATTCTTACATAATACAGGCTTATTGTGGTTTCTATTGCTATTTGTTCCTATCAATTTTTACTTAAACCTACTGGAGAGGTTGTAGCATTTTTGATCACACAATAATGAAAAGGTCACCAAATGATACTGAGGATCTCAAGTTCACCAACCAGCTGGGTGACTTGGGCAAGTCACCTTGCCTCTCTGCGTCTCAGTGGTCTTCCCTGGAGAATAAAAAATGGCAGTATATATTCTCTAAGTTTCCTTTCCAAAATTACAAAATTTCTACTTAAAAATCCTGTGACTCGGGCGCCTGGGTGGCTCAGTTGGTTAAACAACTGCTTTCGGCTCAGGTCATGATCCTGGAGTCCCGGGATCGAGTCCCGCATCGGGCTCCCTGCTCGGCAGGGAGTCTGCTTCTCCCTCTGACCCTCCTCCCTCTCATGCTCCCTGTCTCTCATTCTCTCTGTCTCAAATAAATAAATAAAATCTTTAAAAAAAAAAAAAAGGAAAGAAAAAAATCCTGTGACTCTGCCCTCAAACATTAAAACGTAAAAGCAGGTACTTTAAATGACCCAACAACCTGTATGTGGTTAAGATGGTGAATATGACTTCAGCAGCCCTTTTTCAGTTCGGTTTCATCAGATAAAAATCTCAATTTTTTTTTCTTTAATCAAAACTTGGTAAGAATTCAGAATAAATGTTAATGTAACAGAGTTCTTAGGAGGAAATGTTCCATATTTTGAAGAAACTTATTACAAATTCCATCTTAACACCAGAGCAATGGATTTGTTACCTAGTCACCAATGATAGAAATTACATACTTTACCAATTTGATTTAAAAATAATATGTCAACTTGGGGGCGCCTGCGTAGCTCAGTCAGTTAAGCGTTGGACTCTTGGTTTTGGCTCAGGTCATGATCTCAGAGTCCTGAGATAGAGTTTTGCATTGGGCTCTGCCTAGATGTGGAGTCTGCTTAAGATTCTCTCTCTCCCTCTCCCTCTGCTCCTCCTCCCACTTGAGAGCTCTCTCTCTCTCTCTCAAATAAGTAAATAAACAAATATTTAAGAGTCACAGACCTGTACCCCTGAAACAAATAATACATTATATGTTAATAATAAAAAATAAATCTTAAAAAAACATAAAATAAAAATAATATGTCAACTTAAAAATTTGCAAGAGGGGGTGTAGTTTTTCAAAATTATTTCAGGAAATACACTAAAAAAAAAAAAAAAAAAGTGAAGACTGCTGCCCCAAACAGTCTTATTTTGTTCAGTGCTTTAATCCTAATCCCAAACATAATACTAAATCCTCAATAAACTGAGTAAATCCTCAATAAATCCTGAAGAAAAGTACTGGGAAACAAAGGGGACTTTGGCGAAATCTCCCAGATGAGTAAATCCTTGTTTATTCTTTGCCACCTGGTATACAAGCTGACCCTCAAAAGTTGGTAGCCATTTTGATATTCTATGAGTCTCTTGTGTTTGAGACAATATACTTTCCCACCATTTTGTTTACCCCTCCACACACACACACACACACACACAGACACTAATGAGGAAGAAAGTCCTTGACTAAGCATGTCATCCAATCCTTTATCACAGTGTCCTCAAAGCTCTGTAGCCAAGGCATGGTGGTTTAGAAGTCTGGAACTCAGTCCTTTTTCCTCTAGCTGAAGAAAGGAAGAGGATACAAAAATAGGGCTCTGCAGGATAGAGTGAAATGTTGGGTAAATGTGAGGCAGTTAGAAAAATAATTATTTTTCCTTGTGAATTTATGTGGATGAATTCCAGGCGCCCATAAATTCCAGAGCAATCCTTTAATATTTGTGTGTTCATACAATTATATCTAAAAAGTATGTATTAGTAGATATGTTGATGGGTTTTCTTTTACAGTGAACAAGCAATTGAAAGCAATTTTCAAAAAATAAGATGTTTGTTTCTTTTTTTTAAATATTTTATTTATTTATTTATTTGACAGAGAGAGAGAGCACAAGCAGGGGCGGGGTGGAGAGGGAGAAGCAGGCTCCCTGCTGAGCAGGGAGCCCGATGTGGGACTCGATCCCAGGACCCCGGGATCACGACCTGAGCTGACGGCAGATGCTTAACCATCTGAGCCACCCAGGTGCCTTAAGATGTTTGTTTCTTAAGCCAGTATTTTTCCAGCTATAAATCCTCTAGAATTAAAGGTCATTTTTTTTTCTGCTTTAAAAGTGCTGTCTTACTCAAGTCTAGGGAAGAAAAGGCAAAAAGCAAAGTCTTAATTCATGGATGAGCATCTTTAAAAAATTAATTTCCTCAATGCAGTGCATCTTTAGTAATAATAGCATGTGGCTTTATCCTTAAAAACAAAAAAAAAAACAAAAAAAACACAAATATTTCCCTAACAATTTTGCTTTTTGTAATTTGTCTGGCAGAAAAAAAAATCATATGACTACATAAAGATGTTCAAAGATACACGCTGCAGAAAAAAAAAAAAAAAAACAGAAAAATTGTGGAAAAAAGCTTAACAGTGGGGTATTGGATAAACACATTAAAGAACTTTTATAGATGGTATAATATGCAGTTATTTAAAAGGATAAGATAGGGCGCCTGGGTGGCTCAGTTGGTTAAGCATCTGTCTTCGGCTCAGGTTATGATCCTAGGGTCCTGGGATCAAGTCCCACGTCCAACTCCTTGCTCAGCAGAGAGTCTTCTTCTCCCTTTCCCTCTGCCTTCCCCCCTGCTCGTGCTCTGTCTCTGTCTCACTCTCTCTGTAAAATAAATAAATAAAATCTTAATAAAAATAAAAGAAGAATAAGATAGAACTATGTTTGCTGACATTAAAATATGTTAAAGTAATTAAAGAAACAAATCGAAGAAGAGTGTAAATAATACAGCTCTATTTTTGTTAATAAATAAACATGCAAACATAGAAGTCTATGTGTACAGAAAAACATGGAAGAATGAATACTAAGCCATTAATTATAGTTACATTTGGGTAGTGGAATTGGAGTCAGCTTGGGAGAAAATTACAACTTTTATGTGTTCCTATATGTAAATCTTTACTGTGAACAAGTGTCATTCTTGTAACTTAAAAATGCCCAAAATCACTCACAAAAAGCATAATAAAGTTAAAAATATAATTGTTGGAAAGAAGGAATACTTTTATTATTCTTTATAGATTATTTTAACTAGAAAAACCCAAGAATTAATTGAAAATTATTAAAATTAATAAGAGTTTAATAAAGTAGCTGTTTATAAGATATATAATCCTCTAAAATATCTTACCAATCTTCTAATCATAACCAGCTAAAAAGTATAATGTACAAAGTGTAAATGATCAAGAATAATATTTTTGACTTTCTTTTTCCACTATCCATTCCATGGTTTCTTTGTCCCTATCCAGAACCTCATCTAGTTTTCTTTTCCTGGTTGAATGACCCAAACTCCATTCCTGAAGGGTTTGAATCCTCAGTGATCCTGACTTAATGTGAGCGCTATAATTTTCCATCGACTTTACTCTGGGACATGAGAGTACTAAAAGACAGCCCAGAGAATCCCCTAGCTTCCACATATAGGCCTTCAACTGTTAAGCAGTAACCCAATTTCCTCTTGGTAATTAGTATAAATCACCCTAGCCCTTGGACTAATTCCCTTCTTTTTCTTTTGGCTAAGTGGCATGAGGATTCCAAATTGGCCAGGTGGCAATCTTATGTTCCAATTCAACACAACTATTATTGTAGTCCCAGTAGACTATTCTTCCCTTGGAAAGCAAGACCCCCAAACCAGCAGATCTTTAAAGTACAGGGATAAGAAGCAAAAATTCTGCAAGTAGATTATAAACCGAAAAACAGTAAGCTATTAATTAGCCCAAGTGTTAAGTGAACAAAC